CGCACACTGCAAAAATATAGAGTTTCTCAACTGTTTGCACATAATAACCACTCTCCTTCATGGTTTCTTTATTTGTTTTTAACAGCAGAATTAATATGTATCCATTTATGGATAAATATACACATAAACCGCTGTGCGGTGCTGCTCATATTTATCACGCAATAAAAATGCCCCTCCCCGCACCCAAAACGGGTTGACTGTGGATGAGTATCCAAAACAAGGACTGGTGGGTGGTTGTCCTGCTCCACTTCACAGTTGCCGAGTGAAAGGAGAGTTTTATAATGACAGGAGGACACGCATTTATACAACACTTTATTCAAAAGGAAGAACCGCTCCTTCCACATGTCATATGTCATTACGCTATTTCTGCGTCATTGCACATGCGCAGTCCTTTCAGTTTCGGGGTTCAATCCTATCGAGTGTTTAAATGCACTCTCAATCGTATTAGAAAAGGAATAAACCACCCCCTTCAATCCGATCAAAATTTCATTCCGATCGAGCTCAATCGGATCGATTAAGGTGTTTACATGAATGCTTTTCAGTCCGATTGAGCCGTCAATCCGATTACAAATGAATTATTTGGTTGCATGTAAACGTAGCCTGTGTTAAGGATTTTTTGTACTCGCCCTGCCAAAATGTTCACTCACCCCGCAACATAAAATAATTGAAAAAATTTAATTAAATTAATAAAAAAATAAAATAAAATAAAAATCCATGTTTTTGACCCTTGTAACCTTATATTCGAATAAATAAGGTTGTTTTACCACCAGGCCTTAATTTAAGGTTGTTGGTTAATCAGGCACTCCTAATTGTCGAGCCCTGCTAAAGGTGGAGGAGAAGCCAAGAGGGAGGAGAAATAATAATTTCTTACAATTAACACATGGACAACACAGCTGGAAAAGGAGAATCTGCTTTTACTGACAACAGAAAGTGTGTATATATTAAAGTGTGCACTCCATCTCACTAAACACCTTGCCCAGAATTATTCAATATAGCACAGATGCTCAGTATTGTTTTGTATTCGCTTTAATAAAGTAACACATAATCTAAGTCCAGTTTAGCACTCTGGATCACATGTGAGCTGAACAGGTCTGTTAAACCTTCTGACTCCAGACAGAGGAATCAAAAGAATCACATCAGGCCAGGTCAGAAAATGCAAAAAGGGGCAAACGGATCAACTTAAACATGCACCTCTAGTCTCTTTCCTCTGCTGACAGGATGTAAAACTTTTTCACACTCTAAACCACATTCCCTCTCTTCAATCATTTCCTCCTTCCTCAACCCCTCCAGAGAAAAAGAAGTTGAAATTGAAAATATGGAGTGCGCTGTAAGTCACAGTGTAATTCTTGTAAACATCATTCCAGACTTAGTGTCAATGTGCCCCTTGGTCAAATATAGGCTAACTCACCAATAAAGATGAGATTCTTGGCAGTACTGAAATATATAATGCTAAGTGAAATACCACATGAAGCATGCTGGGATTTTAAAGGTCTGAGTTTAGGTCTGGCTGCTGTAGCACTTTGAAGGATCTCCCTTCCTCATTCCAGTCGGACTGACCCGTGGCACCAGGCCTGAAAACAAAAGCAGCTGGCTGCCCCGGTCCAATACTCTAAAGCAGCTACACATTACTGCAGCAATACTCAACGACAGGGGTTTCTTTTGATACCAAGGAGGACCCCTTGCAAAGGAACCCCCCATTCTTAAAACATAAAAGAAGCTATATATTTTCATATATAAAGACCCATTTATACTTTGTGAGAAATGTGTGATATTAAAAAACAGTGTTTCCAAAAGTATTAAAATATTATCTTGCAAATTATAAAAAAGTACCTTTTTTTTCTACACACTTTTAGAGTTAGATGTTTAAAGTCCTGGCTTGAGACAGCAAAGCTGAATTTTCAGCAGCCATTCCTCCAGTCAATCATTTGTAATAGGCTGATATGGTGCTCTTTTTATTATCATTGCTGAAAACATTTTTGTGGAAAGTATAAATATTTTTTTAAATACACAGTTAGAATATCATTTATTTGAAATAGAAATCTCGTGACATTATAAATGTTTATTGTCATTTTAATACATCCTTGCTTAATAAAAGTATTAATTTCTTTAAAAAATAAAAATCTTACTGACTCCAAACTTTTTAACGGTAGTGTGCATTTTGTACATTGTTTTTTCTCTTACAATTTTTTTAAATTTCTACAGCAATTCTCCAGAGAAATTGAACAATACTGTTAAATTAAAATAGTCTACACAGCATTCTATACATTACTGCAGCAATTCTCCACAGTAATTAAACACCACCGTGGCCATGCTATAGAGGCGTGGGAATCGGCAGGATTACACAACAGCACTTTACACCAGAGACACTGAAAGATTCATCTAATAAACATTTGATGTTGCCAAGGGACAAGAGAACTGCAAAGACCAACATTCTAGAAGGCACTGAATCAACAGGCAGGGATACCTAAGCAGACCGTAGTGTGTCCCGTCTCCTAGCAGCATGCTTTTGAAATACTGCCCAAGGTGTTGGCTGGGGCCTGACTGGACGCTGCTCCTGCAGTATGTGTCCGGCAGAGCTGTTGTGCTCCGCTTATCTGGCTACAGATAAATAATACCACCGGACACTCTCCGGATATCAATGATCTAATAACATATGCACACACATACACAACACTGGGGAAGTTAATGATTGAAATACCACAACTCATATTTCAGCCTGAGGAATCAGAGCTGATGGCCATGCCAAATCTCCTAAATGAACCTACTCCATCCACTTAATTTTTCAACTTTCATACACACTACAATCATATTATCCATATGGGATCAGAACCAGTGGAGGCATTATGCTATGTTTAAACTTCTAAAATGATTTTGTATTCACATTTCTTCATTCATTTGATTGCTGACTCACGCCTCCTTTCATTCCTCCCATGAACATATTTTCCGTCTGCCCTACATTTCAGAACAAATGAAATGTTTTTCGACATAAAAAGTGGAGAAATTGAGTTTTTACTCAAGCTTAGAGAGCTGTTTCCACTTGAGACCAAATGTGGTAAACTTTCCATCAGAACAATGGCACACTGGACAAGACGAACCACAAAGCAGAGATCACGTAGCCGTCACACACATACGCAAGTAGCTGAGGCACTAATGTCTCCCTGACACAAATGCCTTTGAGCTTCTTGTCAGTAAGTGAATAATGCTCTTTCATCAGCGCCAGCGCCGCTCTGACTCCGCATTGGTCCACACATCACCATGCAGACAACAGTCTGTGCATCCAAAACACACACACAGGGGGAGAGAAGGAATGCTTTCTGGTCTTAAAACCCGATTAAGAAATATTGTTTTTCCACAGAAAGGCATTTAGTTCACAGCACAGCAGTGCCCTTAGCAACCCCCATTAGTGCATACCATACCATTACCTGAAGCATTCACATCTGAAACACCTCAGGGGTGTGTGTTTGTCAAACCCGAGAGTAAAACACTCAATTAGACATGCCTCCAGGGTCCAGAAACAATCCTGCCGCACCTGAACTCCTCAGACTTGAGCTGGGGTAAATATGACTTATGTTTCCCGTGTGGAGAACTGAATGTGTTGCCAATCACCATGACTGCAGAACTAAACTCTTTTTGGAAATCTACAAGAAACTCTAAAATCCAACACACCTAAGGCAACATTGTCAAAGAAAACTTGACAAATTGCTGGGTACTTGCCCCCTAATACAGCATAATCCACAACCTGACCTTAACCTCTGAGCAACATTCCACTGTGAACATACTTTGCAGCAAGTATGCAACCAAATATTCAAGAGACTGGGACCAAATGTCAAATTTTAAAGTTGTGATGAAAAGGAAGTAGCCACAGATATTTTCTTTGGAACTGTGATATACATCCGAATTGAACGGACTATTAAAAATGAAAAAATGTAGGCGTTCTTTCCATCGGTTGTTGATTGGATGGGGCAAACCTAAATGCAAGCTTGCAGTCGATTATACAAAAAGGGTGGGTTTATGTGGACAAAATGATTGGAGCAATCTGGCATAAGTCACCAGAGAAAAGTCTGTTCTTTCTCTGGAAGAATGAGTTATGACATTTTGATTCACACAGGTGAATTATTCACAGTAAGATTGATGATATGCATTTAGAAAATGTTTTTTTTTAAAGGCATCCACAGATCCACAGCAACTATAAAAGGCATCCACAGAAGGATTAATTTTTTCCCCAAACATTAAAAGACGTGAACATAAAACCAATGAGGTGGAAGCACCTCATGACCCACATTACATTATGTGCTGTTGTCTAGAACAATAAGTTTATTAAATTACTGCACAAAATTTACTAAAAAATTATTAAATAACTGGCAAGGGTGCACATCTCCAGTAAAAAGAATGTCTTAGTTTATGCTGACTACAACCATACCAGAATATTCCAATAGCTGAAAGACTTGTAAATCTATTTTATTGCCATTTATTTACTATTTTTTTAGTAATTGAAAAAAAATATGGACCTTAAGCAGAAAAAATTTACATGTAAACATGATAAATGTTGATGATTATGCTTTAAATGTAGGGACAACCAAGTGTGTATGTAAAATACAAAGAAACAGAACTGCCTATTGTATCTAGTTAATTGTAAATAATAACATATATGCATGTTTAACATCTCACTACATCTAATTTGAGTTACATCCTATCTGCTGAAATATGGGAAGGAGACTTCAGGCTTCATTGCAGCAAATCTCATACAACTCATCGTGCATGATTCCTAAACAGAGAGAAGAGAAAATAAACAAAATGGAAAAGTATAGTTGCAAATTGCCAGCCTCTCCCTACACACAGGGACGCCCAGGAGAATGGATAAATCATCGCCGTTAGATACGTCACGGGCCAACTCAGCATTCCAGAAGCCGGTGCTCGCGCTCGCTCATACACACACACACACAAGCTGGGCTGGAAATGAGTAGCAGCACGCGCGAGACATGCAAGCAGTGACAACTCACCATTTCTTTGTACATTCCACCATGAGTTCCTGGTAGGAGGCGACAAACTGGAATTTGGAAGCATGTTTCCCAACACGCTGCAGTCTCTTCCACACCGAAGCCATGTTTTTTTCCTCTTTAAAGAGCTGACAGTTTGTTTAAAATACTGTCGTGTTCTGACACCTCCCCCTCACAAAACCTTTCCTTGAAAAAGTTCTCAAAAGTATCTTTCCAAAATCGGCTTTTGTGCATTCATTGATGTTTAAGGGGTTTAAAATCAGGTAGAAGAAAGGAAAAAACACGCAGATCCCTTGTCATCAAAACATTAGTGTGGATGATCGCAGATCTGCATGATGGCATGACGTGTTAAATCCACCAGGGTGATTGACAGCTCTCACAGAGCTCATTCCATACAGCAAATCCCTCAAAATAAACGTAAGCAGTGCATGGTAATCCAATATTCCTCATTTCCATGTGTCAATAAACCTACAGAGACAAAGAGGGAGGCAGTTAGACTATGGTGATAAAGGTTGTTGCACCAAAAGATATCTATTAACTCATTTATCTTTGATTTTCAGATTTCTGCATTAAATATCTGTCAGTTTCAACTCATTTTACCAAACCCATCCTTAATTGAAGCACTGATTCATACCAGTAACAGAAAATTCCCTATCAGTTATCTGTGAAAGGCAATGGAAAGTGATGGTATCAGGAAACAGAGATTTGGCTGACTTTGTTTATCTGTGCAACCAAATTTCATAGTCAGACAGATTAGATCTTGTAGACCAGTTACAAATACTCTGAAGACTTGGAAACATTTGATACTGTATATCAAAAGTTATTGGTGCATTTTATTTTGCGCATGGTAGAATGCACTGTTTCTATATGCATAATCAACCTATTTAAATCAAAGGTTTTATATTTACCCATTTTTGTTTCAATTATGCCACTCACAATGCTTCATGGGATTATAGCTCTTTCCCTTATTAAAGCATTTAAGTACACAGTTTTGAACCTTTTTTATGTTGTCATTCACCTCGTAGGCAGCTGGATTTGTTCCTGCTTTGTAACTTTTTAATGAAACTACTTTTTTGAACGCTATAGGGAAAATTATTGTGAGAACCAAGGAAAAGTGGGCATTTTAGTGAAAGGATGACACGTAATTTTGACTAATAACAATGTTTTAATACAAACTGTCATTTGTATTATGTGTTTTTAATTTAAAAAAATAAAAAAGCTAAAAAGAGAATGCAGTCAGGTATTACATTAAGAATGCGGTTAGGGCTAAGCAGGACATCACCCTTCATTATATTGACAGTTGTGCCAATATTTAGTACAGCACCACTTTCTCGCTTGTGTTAATCAGTAAATATCAAGCAGACTGACAATCAGTTTGTTTCCAGTCTTTCTTTTTTCCATTCTGTCAGACTTTTTACATAGCTGACGTTAAAAGTTCAAAAGTTGTCCTGGACTGGTTAAAATAACTCATCCATTTCTTTTAATTATGTTCGCAACTGTTGCTGTTCAAACATTCACGAGATGATAGTTTTATATTCATGCAGGCTTCTTAAAACAACTCATATCCTCATGCACACACTACAAACTGATGAACTGTCAGTGCTGTCAAACTGACTAACTTACAGAGACTAAAGATAGATGTTCTCAGGTTACTAGTTAAAGATCCTCTTTAAAGTCACAGTGTTTTTATAAATACCTAGCTTTAGAGATCATTACAACAATCGATAATGAACTCCTGCAATTCCATAGACCATTTCACAGATATTAATCATAAACATCCTGGTCGCATTCCTGCACTCACCGCGTGAATAATGCCGCAGCAGTAGCGGCTGAATGCGCCCGATGCGGCGGGAGGCGCGTGGCTGCATTCAGCCCGCTAGCGAGCTAAAGAGCCGCTCTGGCAGGATATTCCCATAGAGCTCCGGAAGCAGCCTAGGCTAACCTTAGCCAGGCAGGCTATCCTAGGGAAAAGAGCGGCAGCGAAACAGAAATCCCTTGGATACTCAGATGTATACCGGCAACAACCAAACAGAGGAGCTTGAAGCCGAGAAGCAGTGGTGGTTTTCCCAGTCGAAAGGAGGAAATTCCAGCGCTGTTTTCGTATCCACACACAAACTCAACGAATCAAGACTCCATCATTTTCCTCACCAATCCCACATTCAGTCAAACTTCTGTGCCGAGTCTCCGAGAAACGCCCCCACGCGTCTCTCATTGGCTGGGGGCCGTAAATATTTACATATTCATGACATTTCGTAACGCTTTTGTTGCCAGTGAACGCTCCTATTGGTCGATAGAGACATCTTTCAGAGCTCTTTAACCCGCCTGTGTGAGCAAGCATACTGAGTTGAGTAGGAACATAAGTAATGTAAACCTTCTTCTACGTGTTAAGGTATAAAGTGTATTAAATATGAGTGTTGTGAAAATTGCAAATATCTGGTAGGCTGAGGCAATTCAATTATCTGGAGTGAATCTGTGAATAATTAAAAATGCTAGCTAGAACAAAACAAAAACTGTTAGATATTTTAAAACAATATATTTGTAATTAAATGTAATGTAATATTTATTTTATTTTATTTTATGTTATTTGAAGTAAAACAATCAGGTCAGTAATGTGCTTTGGAAAAAAAAATCTGGAAAAAATGAAGTGAGTGAAACATGGAGAAAGTTTGTGCAAGAGACAAGAGTCTGATTCCACTGCCAAATGGCAAATAGTTCATTGCAGAACATTTTTTTCTGTCTGAAGAGTCTGAAGAGAAACACACAGGCCATTTTATAATCAGATTAGAACTTTAAGTTTTTTAAATTACAATTTTAAATGAAAGTTCTGTGTTTTTGCCTTCATTATATTCTTTGAATTTATTTGTTCATCAGAAGCTTTTTGATGCCTGCACATCAGTCCTTAATATTACAGAGAGACACACCACGTGTCAAAAAATGCTTTGAAGCAGCCAGAATTCTAGGAAAGACAAATATGTCTGTGAGTATGTGGAGGGAGGGGCTCACACAGATTTTTTCTGCCGGTTCTCCAGCATCTCGATCCTTATCTTTTGAGTGCATGAGACGGGTTTCCTCCCTGATGAACGGGTGTGTGCGTGTGTATCGGAAGATGTGAAGATGTGGGCACACAGGGTAGAGGAGGTTGTGATCTCTACTCAAAAGCAGTCACAGTGTCTACAGAGAGTTGTAACATTGTGACTGCAGTGTAACAGTGCCAAAAGCTTTTAAAAAGACAGCCAATCAGACACCTTTGCCATGTGTCAGACAGAGACTCAAGAAGTCTATATATCAGATTCTGCTTTTTACGGGCTGCCAACACTTCAGAACTTGTGTTAGGCAACATTAAACCTCTCAGGCTTCTGCTCTGACAGCTCAGGAGCTGCCAACACCATCTTGTAACAAATAAACCATCTTGTAACAGCTCCTCTGTGATGTAGGAAAACTGATCAGTATTTTTCTTTGATAAAACAGGCATTTTGTAAAAACATAGCCAGTGATTTTACAATACAAAACCAATACTAAAAAATAATTATATTCCCACAATTCAATCAATGAAATCTTCACAAAGATTTGGTGTGGCGTGAGTCTGCAGTTTGTCTGTGCATTGACTTTACTTTCTCTCTCTTCCTGTGTGTGTCCCAGCAGTAATGTGAGTGTGTTCACTGGCAGCGAGATACTGTAATTGAATCACTCCCTCATGCTCTGGCACGGACACATGGGCACAGCCGTGGGTGAAGACAAAGAAAGGAGAAAACAGTGATGTCACACACAATGGAAGCTTTGGAGCCTCAGTCTGCAGAGAGAGACAATGACATCACAGAAGAAACTATAGAAAGTTAATGCTCCTCATTATGGCTAATTAAATGCTGTATAGAGTTTCTTCTGAACCCTTTGTGCATCATTATGAGGAAATCAATGTTCAACAATGAGATTCAGAGTTCTTAATTAAATATTTAATAAGTGTGAAATAAGTGTGTTTGGTCAACATCTGTTGATCAGGTCGGTATTACAGAACTCTGTTCATTTGTGTGTGTATGTGTGTGTGTGTGTGTGTGTGTGTGTGTGTACACTAAAATTTAATCTCTGTGCTGAAGGCAGAGAAGTTGTTGGATAGAAGATTCTGTAAATAACTCCAGCTGAATGTCCTCTTCAAATAAACACAAGGAAGCACAGAGAGCAACCTCAACATACAAATTATAGTTTATTCAACAATATTTACAGAAGACTATACTCATACAATACTTTGAAAAATCATAAACATTAACAAAGATATGAACTTTGTAAGTATAAAATTGATGCTAAATATTGTGATATTTTACTTTCCGGAGAATCTCTTAATAGTGATTATGTCTTGAATAATGATATTAAGTCCATGCCATCATAAGCAAACATCTAAAAAAAATAATTACTGACATGTTTTTATTCTATTGAATTTTATATTAGTAGTAGTAGTAGTAGTAATGAAGTAGTAATAAATGTAATAAAATAATATTTTGTTTTTATTTGTCATTTTAATCTTTGATCTGAAACACAAGTTAGCCATAGATTGATCTGAACAGGCCTTAATACTGGCTAAAGATTAATTTGATTTGAAATGTTTTGCTGTCTGTAAGTATGACACCACCTCCTGCTGTTCTGCACTTCAGATCACACAGTGGCCTCTTGAGACCGACAAAGGGTTTCCAGCGCTTCCCAGGGGTTAGCAAGGCCTGAAAGGGTCAACCCATCACCACACCTCTGAGATTTCACACTGTGGGGTCACCTCTGGAGGGGGACATGTGTGTTACAAACATGTGTGTTAGTTCTTGGTGCAGATTACAATCGAATGTGCTTGGGATTCCTTGTAGATCATCTGATTCAGTATATTTCACTCTTGTGCTCTAGCACTGGATAATGGAGAACAGATGGGAGTTGTTAATTCGAAGCAGACATGGCAGCTTTATCTTTTCTGTGCTCTCTGATGAGAAAGCAACCCACAATACTAAGCTGCATGAGTGCATGACTTAACAAAATCTAAATTACTACAAATTTAATGTAATCATATTCCAGATCAGTTGTGACTACCAATTTTAACAATAAAGACAATGGTTTCTGGAAAAGAAGTCAAGATCTGGCTTATAGATCAATTTAGTTTTATAAACCAAAATGCAAAATGAAGTTTTTTTAATCAAGAGAGACTGAGACAAATGATGGCTCACAGAAAATGAAAATGCTGTTCCAACCTTGCATGATTTCTTTTTTTTTTCTTCTTCTTCTTCTTCTTCTTCTTCTTCTGTGGAACGCAAAAGGAGATATTTTGAAAAATGTACTGACCAGCATTTTCCATATAATAGAAGTAAATGAGGATCTGGGCAGTCAAGCTCCAAAGTGGTTTGTACCATTTGTACAAATAATTTATCGTATAAAATCTTAATCATGTCATAAAGTCATAATCATCTCAATCTTAATCATTTAAAATCTTGCATTCCACTGCATGCATCCATTAAAATATTATGAATTTATGCAACACGTCAAGTTTGACAATAACGTGATGTGACAAATCACATTCGCAACACAAGAAGTCTGTTTATGGAGAAATGCAAATGAGATATGAGAGCTGCAGCATAGGAGGCATAATGAGCAGGGTGATGGAAAAAGGACAGAATGCTCATTTTTGAGTGATCTATCTCCTTAAAATGACCATAAACTGACCTGAGAGACAACAGCAACAAATGCATACTGAGCAAAAATTTGTATTGCATTAAAAAAAACAATTACACCATCCATCACACACATAGTGTGTATACACATACACACAGCTGATGCTGAGTCAGACTCTGCTCTGTGGGTGAAATCATAAATATCACATTATAATTGAGTTTGCATAATTTCTGGAATGTGCAACATACACTAACCAGAAAAAAATGTGCAGAAACAACTAATTCTGAAATGACCTGGCAACATGCCTGCAATAAAACGTCTTTATGGGTCGAATGGCATCATTTATGCCTTATAAAACATGTATGGAGTAAATGCATGACCCATATAAAACAACCTTCATCTACAGGGTACCTTGTAATTGTTATGCTGCCTGTCTGATATCACATTTATCTTCCGCAGTGGTGCGTTAAATCTGTGGACAGTATATCAGGATGGGAGAGCAAGCTGTTATCTGCCACGAGCAACACACACACACACACACACACACACACACACACACGCACATGCACATATGTTCCAATACTTGTTGACAGCCACACAATGAGCTTTGGTGATTTTCTCTGCCCACAATGCAAAAGTGCAGGAGAATGGAATTCTGGGGAGAAAATATGAAGAGGAGTGAACAGAGAGTGTGATGTACTGTAGCGTTTATAATGAAAGTTTTTACTCTGGAGTGCAGGGATGTAGGCAGGATTTGGCTCTAGTATGGGATGGGCTTATAGGCAAAATTAAAATTATTAGCGAGAATAAAAAAGTTTTTCCTCTCTCTTTTGCAAGAGCTCAGCACATTCTCAGGGATATTTCACATCTTAAGAAAGTGTGCATTTGTGATTGGATGGGCCAGTACCAGTTGGCCCACCTAAGGACCAGTGTACTGAAAAACTTAAATAAGAGTGTTAGAAGGCGATAAATAAAAATGAAGCAACAAAGAAAAAGAGAAAACAAGGATTTTTTTACTCATTTCTAGGCAGCTGACTTTAAGACAGCATGTGATATGAGTGGAAAACCAAAGGGGGGATGGCAAAATTATCTTCCTGCTGATACTGTGTGTAGTTAGGCTCTCACTGCACGCGGGTGAAATAATAAAGGCATTTGTGGAGCTGCTGGAGGGCCGAGGGGAGAACTTTGGAGTTAGTTAGTTTATGGGGATAAAATGAACTCCCTACAGCAGGAGAAACTCAGTGTCAGTTTATTCAGTCATATCTGTGTCATGTGTGAACTGGGAGAAGCATCTGACACAGATTCTGAAGGGTATTTATGCGCTTGTGAAAGAATGTATGTGTGTGTGAGGAACTCAGCTTTAAAGTATGAAGAACATGTAAATGGGGAGAAAGCAGCTACATGTCCACCCACACATTCATTCTCTCTCATGAAGAAAGTTCACTGCCTGAAGCAAATCCACAGAAACTGAAAAAACTTTCATCAATCTCTTTTTCTTACACACTTCCTGCTTTGCAATTTGGGTTTCC